TCACCTGGAAAAGCCAAACCCCAAAATATCTGCCCAGAGATGTCACCTGCTTCACATAACTTAGATGATGTGGCAGGAGGGGTTGGATGGGGGGAGTAAGAGCTGGACACATTCTGTGTGTGGACGTAGGGATGCTGTCCTCTGCCATTCCCGACTGCCCCAGCCCAGAAGCAGCAGCACTGTGTAGCTCCTTCCTCCTGGGAAAGGGTTCATTTTCTCCACCAAACTTCCCCTCCATCCTTTCTTCCTTCTCGCCTTTTCTCTCTCTCTCTCCTTTTCACCTTCCCATCCTTTCCCCTTGTCTGTGCTCCCCCTTCTTCTTGGCACCTGGTGGCCCCCAGGGTTACAAAGCATTCAGTCAGCTGCCTGAATAATTAGCAGATCATTCTTAATTATCCCAGACTGTGGAGAAGACTCTGGTGGGAGCCCAAGCTCAGCGCTGCTTCCCCAAGGCTGGGAAGAGGCAGGGGAGGGGCAGCTATTCCAGTGGCAGTGGGTGCTCTTTCATGGCAGCCTCTAGGGCCTGCCACCCAGAGTGTGACAGGCTATAGCATTGGTGGGGGCCTTCCTGGCTTCATAGGAAATATTCCCATAGGGAATGGGGGTCGTCTTTGGAGGTGGGGACAGGAAGTCCACGTACTGTCCTGCCCTCCCACTCTCACACGGGAGGGGAGAGCAGTCCCTGGGTGCTTCCTTTAGAGCTTCATGCTTCACCAGAGGAATTGCATGCCCTGACACCTATCCTGTGGTGTTCTCTTGCAAAGAGACTGTTTCCTTTGCCTGGAGTTTCCTTCTTCATTTCTGCTCCAGATACTTCCAAGAAACTTCCCCAGTCCCACCCGCGTCCACCATGCGGGAGTGTGCACTTTCCTGTGCGTGCCTATAGAGTCTCCTCTCCTAGCCTGTGTGATCCAAGTACTCGAGGTGTGTCAGCTGCCACAGGAGCGCTGTCCAGGAGCCACAGTCATTCCATGATATACAAGTTTACAATTCAAATTTTTTGGCTAAAGAAGCCAAGGCACGGGCTGGGGATGTGGCTCAAGCAGTAGCGAGCTCGCCTGGCATGCGTGTGGCCTGGGTTCGATCTCAGCACTATATACAAATAAAGATGTTGTCCGCTGAAAACTAAAAAAATAAATAAATATTAAAATTCTCTCTCTCTCTAAAAAAAAAAGAAGCCAAGGCACATACTAAGAAGTGACTTGCCCAAGGTCACTCTGCTTCTAAACAGATGTGCAGTCCCAGTCCATGGGACATTGTGGTTATGTAGTTATTGATGTCCCTTTTTTTCCTCCCTGATAGACCTGAATCACCTTGAGGCCAGATATATGTTGTCTGATTCATCTCTCCCCACAGTCCCCAGCAGTGTGTTTTTCAAACAGAACACCCTCAAATTGTTTGTTGAACAGTGAGGGGTGGGGAGGGAAAGAAAAGAGGGGGATGTTTGGAGATGCCACCCTCCAGTGCTGGTGGAGGAGGGTGGACTAGTTGTGAGGCCCAAGTGCTGGGACATATTGAGTGAGCTAGTTCCATTCTTACCCCTGGCAGAGGCAGCCTTCTCTGCCAGTGCCTGGGCACATGTGCTGCAGCTTCAGCAATGAGCCTGGAAACTAACCTGCCTTAAGTAGACTACCAAGCCAAGAGGGTCTAGACCAGGAATGGCACAAACATTGCCCTCATGCCACTGTTCCACCTTTCGCCCCTTGGGAGGGCACTGTTAATCAACATCCCAGCCCCATTGTGGCCTAACAGCCCTTCCTAACACATCCTTCCAGACCATCCCTGCCAGTCAACTGAAGGGGCACATGAACGGTAAGCTCTTCGTCAGCCTAGGTCTGTACGCTCCCTCAGCGTCATGGTGTATGATCTTAAGAATTGAGACTATCTGGAGGCTTCACTTAGACCTATAGGTTCTTAGATGAGAAAAGAACCCCAGATACCATGTCTTCCATCCCCCACCCTGAGGTAGGACTCTTGCTTGGTGCATCTCTGACAGGCAGTCATCCATCTGGAATCTGATGGTCTTGCAAAGCCATGCAGCTCTTCACTAGAAAATTCTATGTAGAACCAAAATGTGCTTCTTTGTAACCCCACTCACTGGTACTAATGTAGCTGTCTAGGTCTGATCACTTTTCCACCTAACAGCCCTTTTGATATATTTGATATTTGAAGGGAATTATCATCTTCTCGAAGTCGTCTCATCTTCAGCCAGAACATCCTTCAGTTGTCTTCCAACGACATGAATTTCTCACTCATCAGCCTCCTTTGTACGATTGGTCGTTTGTCACATTCTCTTTACCACTTGTAACATGTCAGACTCTGCCCCAGATGCTAGAGACAATGAAGAAGACAGACTTTATAGTCTAGAAGGGAGTTCAGAGCCCAATTTGAAGGGGATGCATTGGTGGCTAAAACTGGTGCTAGCATGAAGCAGCTCTCCTTAATCCAGGGCTCTGCTTTCTCCTGTGCCTCTGAGAAGGGTGTATGAGAAGGGTGTATGTTCCCTGCTTATTGAAAGGACAGGGGAGGGCAAGAGAGGGATCACTGAGATCTCACTCACTTTCTAAGCTGCTTAATGTGCTTTTAGCTCCTACTGAGCTTTTAGTGAACTGAAACCTCCAGGTCTTTCTTCCCTGAACTGCTGCTTAACCACGTTCCCTCTGCCTTCTATATTTGTGTACTTGATTTTTTAGACCTAAATGCTGAGCTTCACATTTATTTTTTGTAAGTGGGATCTTGTTGATTGTAGTCCATCCTCTGGCCTTTCAAGATGGAATCCTAATACCACTGTGCCTCTTGACCTACCTCTATATGATGTGCCCAGTTTTCTAATCAAGTGTTGAATGAATGGGACAGGGCCCTGCCTTTTACCTGTGTAAAAGGCCAAGGTCATTCCCTTCTTTTTGTGTGCCTTTTGGGTGCTGCTGTTCATCTGGTTGTGATCTTTCTTCTATGTCTTCTCCTCCAGCCCCCATAGCTTCATCTTGTCCATTGGATTTGGTTAGAAACTCAAAATCCTTTATGATTCAAGATGGCACCATTTTGAAAGTTTTCCCCTCTCTAAAACCTTGCCAAAGAAAGAAATGTGATGGATTTTCTTTCTTTAACACACACTAGCCCCTAGGACTTGCCTCTTCCTTCTCTAAGAGCTTACAGACCCTCTCTTTAATAACACATTGCAGAAATTTGCCAGGCCTTGTTTTGGAACTTTATGTTGACAGCCTTGAGATATCAGTCCTCCTCTCTTTGATGACAGAATTAGAACAGAGTAACTATTGTCCATCTCGCATTCTCATGCCCTTTCTGCTGTCCCATGAACTCTGAGTAGAGCTGTTAGCTAACTCCTAGGACTGTTTCAGTAGAATGTGGCTGCGTGGGGGACTGGAGAGAAGTGAAGCATCTCGTGTTTGAGCACTCATTACAGTAGGTGAAGACCTCTCCCTGCAGAAGATGGACCCACTGGGTCAGGTGGTTCTGCTGGGAGGAGACAGCTTCCTCCCTTTCTCTTTCTCTTCTGCCACCATCCACAGACCTGTTAAGGGGAAGAAGCAGCTTTGGGACCTGTGCATGCCTCAGTTCCCCCGCCTCTATCACCTCACTAAGTCCTGCACGTGCAAGCCAGGTGCGGTTGGGACTGACTCACCAGGACATGGAGACCATGGATTTTGGGGTGCTAAGACCTTCTAGAGCTGGTGGGGTGGTTGAGGAGGTTTTTGCCAGATTCCTGACTATTCCATCTTTTTTGGAAATCCCTCTGCCACCCCATTTCCTCTTCCTACCTTTTCCATGAACTAGACTTGGCCTCTGCTTCCTTATTCCCTATGCCTCAGACATTTGCTTGCTGTCATGAGGCAGTTGCTCAGAGGACCTCTGTGAACGTGGAATGTAGGCAGGGGCTAGTTTTATTGGCGGTAGGGGAGCTGGAGAAGTGACTGGGAGGATATTGTGGCACATGAATCAGACATAACTTCAAAGAGCACAAAGAGTTGCTATGGCCCAACAGTATGGAAACACACAAAGGAGGCTCACACACATTGAGTGTGAGTTAGAAGAAGCCTCCATCATGTGAGAACCATACAGTGGTGCCTCCAAATGCCAGACACTGTTTTAGGCACAGCAAGGAACAAACAGGCCTGACCTCTATCTAGAGCACACACAAGCAAGCAATGCATGGTGCCCAGAAGTGCTGTGGGGAGAAGCATAGCAGGCTGGGGGCAGAAAGTACAGGTGCGCTTCAAAGATTCTGTGGGCAAGGAGGGGACTCTGAAGTAAAGGAGCTAGCCATGTACATGTCAGTAGAAATGACATTCTGATGCAAAGGCCATGATAGGAGAATGTGTTTGGCACATCAGGGAATAGCAGGGTGGCTGGTGCATGAAGTCCACAACACATCTGGAGGAGGGTGGAAAAGGTGAGCAGCCTGGCCACCTGGAGACTTGTAAGCTGTGATCAGGATTTAGGATTTACTCTGTGAGTCATTGTTCATTTGTAGAGGCAGTCCTTCAACAGGCCTGGAGTTTGAATGTAGATGATGGCCCATAGGACCGGGCTTACCCTTCACTTAGTCTCACCCAACTCTAGTTTCCTCCTTGGCAGAGGCCAGTAGTCTGTTGGCATCATGTGCCCACGAGGGATAGGTACAAATGCTCTTCCAACTGTAAGTAACTATACATATGTGTAGGTAATCACAATGGTCTTTCCGTATACCCTGCTTGAGACTGTAAACTCCTGGAGGCAGGGACTGTGTCCCTTCATATGGCATGTGCAGGTGCCATCTGGGGCCAGGTGGCTACTCTTCCCTACCCAGGGCTCCAAAGAACTCAGTGCCATTAATGTGTAGACCCCTCAGGTTGGTCTCCTGGTAGAGACCATCTGGACAGGGCAACATCAACTCTGATGGTCAGGTGACACTGTTTGAAGAATTCATGCAAAGTCTGCTATTGACAGCAGGAGGTGCAGGGCTGGGAGTAACCCCAGCTCTCTCATTTTTTCTGTGGCAGGATCTCCCAGCGGGTAGAGCTGAGCCGGAGCCAGCTGCAGGCCATTGGGGAGAGGGTCTCCTTGGCCCAGGCCAAGATCGAGAAGATCAAGGGCAGCAAGAAGGCCATCAAGGTAGCCTGTGGGGCCCTGTGGTCTGTAGCTGGTGTGCAGTCCTTCCATCTTTCCATGCCCCTGCTGTCCTCCTGCCCAGGGTCATCTCTCCATGCCTCCCACTAACCAACCCTAGGCTCTCTGGAGCTTCTCAGGTCTCTTGACCATATCCTGGTTCCCACAGGTATTCTCCAGTGCCAAGTACCCAGCCCCAGAGCGTCTGCAGGAATACGGCTCCATCTTTACTGGGGCACAGGACCCTGGTCTGCAGAGACGGCCTCGCCACAGGATCCAGAGCAAGCACCGCCCCTTGGATGAGCGGGCCCTGCAGGTCTGATGGCCACACTCATCACACCCTAATGCCATGAATGCTGATGGGGAAGCTGAGGAATCTGTCTCCCGAGAAGATTCTGACTGGGATGGGGGTGGGGGTCAATATAGCTTGGTGCCAAAACCCACTATCCATCCCTGTCACTCACCCCAGGAGAAGCTGAAATACTTTCCTGTCTGTGTGAACACCAAGCCAGAGCCCGAGGATGAAGCTGAGGAAGGTCTTGGGGGTCTTCCAAGCAACATCAGCTCTGTCAGCTCCTTGCTGCTCTTCAACACTACTGAGAACTTGTATGGCCAGAGGGTGGGGCTGCAGAGATGTGGGTGGGAGGGAGGCTGGGCTTAGCAGGGGTTCCAGGGACATGGCTCTGGTGCAACAACAGTCCAGAGCTGACAGCTTATTTTTTTCTGGTTTGGTTTAGTTTGGTTTATAAGGACTGAGAACCCACAACAGACTGCATCCTATGATGCCTTGGGAGAGGTGGTCAGGAACCCAGGCCTGCCTGATGCCACCCACCCCACCCTGTAGGTACAAGAAGTATGTCTTCCTGGACCCCCTGGCTGGTGCTGTAACAAAGACCCATGTGATGCTGGGGGCAGAGACGGAGGAGAAGCTATTTGATGCCCCTCTGTCCATCAGCAAGAGAGAGCAGCTGGAACAGCAGGTAGAGATGGAGGCAGTGTGGATGGGTGGGGTCTGTCAGCCCTGCCAGGGTGCTTCTCTAGACAAGGGCTCTACTATGCCCTTTGCCTACCTACCCAGCTGTGTGGGGTCTGCACTGGGTCACACTGGCTCTGCCTCCAGGTCTCACAAGCAGGCCCTGTGTTCCCAGATGGCTGCTGACCCTCATGAACCTCCACCCAATCCCACAGGTTCCAGAGAATTACTTCTATGTGCCAGACCTGGGCCAAGTACCCGAGATTGATGTGCCATCCTACCTGCCTGACCTGCCTGGCATTGCTGATGACCTTATGTACAGTGCTGACTTGGGGCCAGGCATTGCTCCCTCTGCTCCCGGTGCCATTCCAGAACTGCCCACCTTTCCTACAGAGGTTGCAGAGCCTTTCAAGGCGGGTGAGCTGGGAGCTAGTATGGGAATTGGCCCAGGGAGCTCCCCTGTTTGGACTCCTTCATCCTAGGCATTCACACACTTTCATTCTAGACCTAGAAGATGGGGTGCTGACAGCACCCCCACCACCGCCCCCACCGCCACCCCCAGCTCCTATGCTGCTGGCCAGCGCCCCTCCACCCCCACCTTCACCCCAGACTGTGGCCTCCACCAGCCTAGGTGCCAGGGAGGACGACAACAGCAGCAGTGCACCTCCTTCAGGTAGGGGTGGTGCCGGGTGGACTCAGTCCTTGGAGGCACCTTCAACTGTCCAGTTTCCAGATCCCTGAAAGGATCAAGTAGTCATTATTCCTAGATTTGCAGAATAGTTCTCATTTCAAATATTTTTTTCCACTAGGTTCATAAAATAGTGGTTTTCAAACTGTCGAGCTTTGGAATCTTTAGAGGGAACCTAGAAAATAGGGCTCTGTGTCTCCCACTCCCAGTTAAGCCAATGAAGAAGTCTATTAAAAAATTGAGAACACAGAATTTATTTTAATATTGTATCTCCCAGTCTATTTCCAGCCTCCAGAAGGGGAACAAAAATCCTTTTTTTTTTCCATGTGTCAAGATGGGACACTTATCAGCACATCAGTGATTCATAGGGCCCACTTTTGCAGGGTGGCAGCTAAATGGGATGGTGGAGAGGGACCAGGGATACCTGGACACAAAACTGCAACCTATTGGCTACAGTTCAGGCCCTGCACAGTCCCAGAAGCCCCTGCTTCACCATCTGGCTTCCTCAGGAGAGGTGCCCTCCCCCATAGTCAGGCTCTGGAGGCTGTTCCTCCCAGCCCTGCCTGAGCAGCCTTTCTTCCTTATGCCCATCCCACCTCCCAGTTCCAGTCCAGGGAGCTCCCAAGGAAGTGGTTGACCCCTCCAGTGGCCGGGCCACTCTGCTGGAGTCCATCCGCCAAGCTGGGGGCATCGGCAAGGCCAAGCTGCGCAGTGTTAAAGAGCGCAAGCTGGAGAAGAAAAAACAGAAGGAGCAGGAACAAGGTGAGGGGACCCTTGGCCCACTGCAGGAAGACTCCAAACAAAAGGTCACCTGCCCCTCCATTTCCCGCGAGTCCCCACAGTGTTCTGCCCAGCCACACCACCCCAAGCTTTTCCTCCAGGTATTCACTGGAAACCCCAGTGGATATCCTGACGTGGGCCAGGCACTCCTTAGTAGAGCCTTCCCCTCTAAGCTCACCCAACTCAACCACAAAGGAGAATATTGGCCCAGAGTCATTTAAGGAAATGGTCAGGGACCCAAAAGACTGAAGACCTGGGGGGTTAGCTCAGTCCTACTTTACGTTTCAGGCTTGTCTGCTGTGAATCCCAACCTGGCATTATGCATTACCTTGGCATAAAGCAGCAGGGCCCTTGGTTTGTGTCCCAGTCTGCTTCTGACCTGCCTGGTAACCACAGGCAAATTGCCTAACCACTCTGGGCCTTGTCCTCATTGTGAGAACTAAAATGTTAACTACTTTGTTAATGCCACTGCAGGATCCACAGAGACCAAAGCTCCAAGAGTCTGAGGTGAACGTGTGGCTGGGGAGCAGGCTGGGGAGTGTTGTAGAGGTGGGGTGAGCAAGCCAAGAGTGTGAGGCTGCACCTAGAGATGTCCTATTTGGCCCATTTGCACTCCCTCACCATGGCTTCCCTATTGCAGTGAGAGCCACGAGCCAGGGTGGAGACCTGATGTCGGATCTCTTCAACAAGCTGGTCCTGAGGCGTAAAGGTAGGAGGCAGGGTGCCCTGCCTTTCGGCCTTGAGACATTTTGTATTATATATAATCCTGTGTGTATCTTCCTATTCTTAAATCTCCCAAGGGCTGGGTAAACTAGTGCCCTGACCAACCTCCCTAACTAGTCTTCCTTCCCAGGTATCTCCGGGAAGGGACCTGGGACTGGAGCCAGTGAGGGACCAGGAGGAGCCTTTGCGCGAATGTCAGACTCCATCCCCCCTCTGCCGCCCCCACAGCAGCCACCAGGAGAGGAAGACGAGGATGACTGGGAGTCTTAGGTGGCTCCTCCCTCCCTAAACCCTGACTGTTGCCTTCTTGGAAACATCCAGGAGCAGCTCCTGGGCCTACCATCCTCTCAGCCTAAGGATCTCAGCTGGGATAGTGGACAGTCCCAGATCTGCACCTAGACCCCCTGCACAGGGTGTATGTGTATGCCACCCGCTTGTGCCCTGCTCATGTGACTGCCTTACCCACCCTTTACCAGGGTGCTCTTCTAAAGATCTTTGAGAATACAGCAACATGAATCAATAAAGAAGGGTAATACAGGAATGGAGCTCAAGCCAGCAGTGCAATTTTAATTAAGGAATCATAGTTGTGCAGGGCATAGCTCTGTCCTTGAAGCCTGTCCCCTACCCTGGTGGTCTCCAGGTGATGGGGCAGGACTTTAACGATACTGAAGCCCCTTTCTCCAGGTAGGGGGTATGGGAGCAGGGGCAGCTATTGTGGAGGGAGGGAGATTTTCCACAGGAAAAAAAAAGTGACAACAGTGTCTCTAAAAATAGTCATGCTGAGAGCCTAATGGCCCTTGGCATGATCACTGATGTCAGAGTAGAAGGTGTCTTGGAGTTTGCTCGAGTGGCTGAGAGGGAGGGAGGTGCCGCTGACTTAGAGGAGGAACTGGAGCCAAGCCAGGGAGATAAAACCCTTGCAGAGACTGAGGGACAGGGGAGGGAACAGGGCTGCAGCTGGGAAGTGAGGCTGTGGGGAAAGGGGCTGGAAATGGACATCGTTAGCTGAGAGGGTGAAAGCACAGAGGCAGGATGGGCCTCACCTCTGAGAAGGTGGTGGCTGCCCACATAACCTCCTACAAAGGCTGGCCAGGAAGCTGACCCTGGGCTGTGCCTAAGCATGGCTAGGATGGACCTACTATTTCTTGAGGATGAACGAACCTGCTTCTGGCTTTTCTATGTAAGCTTGGATCCTGACAGCCCTTGTGGGCTGGTTTGAACACAATTCTACACATGGGTTCCACCTTAGGCCTAAGACTAAGGCCAAATGGGGGGAGGGGTGGGGGATAGTGACAGGCAGTGGTGCAGTCAGGAATGGCCTGACTTCTCCCGATGAAACTGTGGAGACAGGAAAAAGCAGTAAGAAACTATATCTCAGGGAGGAGAGGCTCCCAGGGGAAGGAAAAGGCAGGCCTGACCTTCCGCATAGCAGCAAAGGCAGGGCCAAAAGTGGCTTTGACCTCTACCCGGTCTCGAATCCAGGCTGGCAGCTTTGCCAGGGTAGAGGGGCGAGCATACCGCTGGTCCAGAAGTACTATGCTGGCGAAGTCCCTCTGATGCCTGATGGCTCTACCTGGGTAGGCACAAAGGTTATGGCTTTGAGTAAAACAACCTCCTGAACAGCCATGTGTCCTCCTCCCTTCCACAGCCCTCAGGCAAGAAAGGGCAGGTAAAATCCCTCCTTCCTGTCATATCCATCCATCTTTCCTAACTGCCTTGATGGCCAGGAACAGTCCCAGGCTTACCTATGGATTGGTTGACAGCCTTCATACACAGATTCTCCACCAAAGCCTTCCCTGGGAGGGCCTGACCTGGGGCCCTAGGCTAGAAAGGATAGAGACAATCTGGGTCACTTCTCACCTCTTTTTGGAGCAAGGCCAAGAGGCTCTATGAGCCTAAACCAGCAGCTGGCCTAACAGGTGATGTCATGGAGAAAATCAAGAGGGTGGGCAGAATCATCCCAAACCTTTGGAGGAAACATCAGCATAGTGGAAAGTTGCACCCTAGGGCCTTGCTACCATAGCCCTAGGGGTGACACAGCTCTTCTCCAACCCTCTCATCCTCTGGAACATTGGAAGTACTCACAAGGGTCTGATCCAAGTAGGCCATCTTCTCTTGTAGCTCTGGAGACCTGATGTTGGGGTAGGGCATGCCCACCATCACCACACACCTGGTGGAGACACGAGTCAAGGCCTCCCTCACACCTCCCTCATATCTCGTCAACTGCTGTCTTTCACAGCTTGCATTACCCCACCCAACACCTACTATCTGGAAAGCTCTAGCCCAGGCCAATGAATGGATCCTAATAAAGTTATGGTCTGCCTCATATTCCCCTTGCTCTAAGGGGGCCAAATCAGGGATGCTATAATTCTAACATGCCCTTGCCCCACAGTGGACACTGAATAGTCAGCCTGGGTGCAGACCCAGATGGCATCAGACCACAGGCAGGGGCCATTATCTCAATTCCAGCAGAGAAGAGGATCACTACTTACCGGCCCAGGTCATCAGAGAAGTTGATCCCTTCACTCATCTTTCCTCCGACCACAGAGAGAAGCAGGGCACCCGTCACTGTGCCTCCCACCTGGCCACAGCTCTACAGGAGAAACCCAGCCCAGAGCTGCTGAGCCAAAGCTGGATGCCTCCCAACTACACCCAGCTGCCAGGCCTACTTGGTCTCTGGACCCACTTCTCACCGTGATGCACTTAGAATATGCCATCAGCACCTGCTCCACTTGGCTTGCTCTCTTGGGTTCCTGGAATATCTGAAGAAGGGAAAGAATGTCTCCCAGAAAAAGGCTTTGGAATGCTGGGTCTCAGGTCTGCTTGAGACCCTGGGTTTTGTGACCTAGAAACAGGAGGACCTCACTGAGTCAAGCTTTGGGGAACCCTCTGGGCCTGTAGTCAGGGGCCAGAAGAGGTGGGGGTGAGAACTAGGAGAAGCTGAACCATCCCAATTTGACAGCAAGAGAATTCCAGGAGGAGCTCTGGGCAGCACTGTCCTCAAAAGGGGGAGGGGTCCAGCTGAAGGGCCACTCACCTTTTTCCTGACAGCCAGGCGGGCCAGCAGACCACTCTTGTCCCAGTGAGCATGGACCTGGCGCTGGTACTCATAGGAGGGAAAAAAACAGACTACCCCTCCAGGGACCACATTGCATAGGTTACAGAGAATGCGGCCTGTCTCGTCCATCTATGAAAGACAGATAAGGAGCATCATGGCAGTAATACCCACATAAGAGTTGCTTGCATTACCCCAAAACCAAGGATAGAGAACCATTGTGTGACTAGGCCACGGAGGATGATGGCCAACTGGCTTCCTGAGTGGAATGTGCCAGCCACCTTCCTACCAAACGTGCCCAACTCCTTCTGGTGATTGCCCACCTTTATGGCACATGTCCCAATGTCAGCATCCCAGTGATAATATAATATTGGTTCACCAACTCCCAATGTCCCAAAGGACATCATCCATGATACCAGGCACTGAACACCCCAGGCATGCCACTGGAGATGTGCCTAAAACCTGCAACCCTGGTCCGGGGCAGGAGCCCATATAACCAAGGGACCATAGAACCAAAGGAAATGAGCAGTGTTCTCATTCCACACTAAAGGGATACATGAAGGTTATAAGAAATTTTACTTACCAGCCTAAGGAATAGGGGAATGGCTCAGACCTTCCTTGATAAACATCTATAGATCCTACTCATCCTGTGCCAGCTGTGATGGTCACGAACTTCCCCTGTACCAGGACTAGTCAGGACCACCCACCCAAGAGCTCTCCCCCCTGCCCTAGGAGGGCTGTAGGAAGGCTGCTGCTGGCACTCACCATCTGAGGCAGCTCTCTCTTCTGGTATGTGAATTCCAACTGCTGGTTGGAGGGCCCGCTGCAGATGACGAGGGGCAGGATGTTGTCTGGAGGGATCACGTGGCCTGGTGAGACCCAGGAAGGGGATGAGAACCTGGCAGACTATTCTGCCAGGCAAAGTCCAGGGAGGGTGTTTTCCTAACCTGTCTTCCAGATGAGGAAGATTTATAACATACCTACTCACCCACCCCACTGCCACAATAACAGTGGGCAATGCTGATGGTGGGGCAGAGTGTAAGGGCAAGGGGAAGTGTGCTGGAGAAGGCAAGGCCCCTATCCCGTGGTCTCCTCAGCCCTGGGTCTCGCATGCAGCAAAACCAAGACTACTGGGGCCAGAGTGTGCCTGGTTTGTCCCACCCTGGACATGGATCCTCACCACAGGAAAACTCCACCACTCGCTCAGCTTCCACCCCAGCACATGCCAGCAGCTGTTCTCGAAAGTCAGACACCTGTAGGTCACAATGTCAAGACTTTGTGACCTCCAAGAGGTCTGAGGAAAAGGAACCTCAGGCCGTGACTTGGGGGTCCATGGGTGAGGGTAGAGCCCTGGCACAGACAGCAGAGAAGTCTGGGCCAGGAGGCAGCCAGTATGGTAGAAATAGGACCTGAAAGAAAAGGTGGGTGATACATTAGCAAAAAAAAAAAAAACAACCTTTAATGACATCCAGTGTTGGCAGCCTCATTAGACAACCTGTGGGAATAGCAAAGGAAATTTGGCCAATTTGGCACAGAGATTCTCAACCTAGCTGTGCACTAAAACAAAACAAAACAAAACAAAAAAACACCAGAGGGGATTTCAAAAAAAATCCAAGTGCCAGGTCCTAGCTCAAACCACTGAATAAGAACCTCCAGGGTTTTCACCTATCAAACTGGCAAGAATCCAAGAGTTTAATCACTCTGTGGAGAAATAGGCATTCTTAGATATTGTTGGTAGGATACAGAATAGTTGCCATCCTTGGGCAGAGGAATCTGACAGTATTTAGCAAGTTAGATGTAGTTTTTAATCGGCATCCTATATCTAAGATCTACTCTGATGATACAGCCTATAAATACCAATTAACGTGCACATAAGGATCTTTCTTTGGAAGTTATTTGCCCATAAGAGACTGGTTGAACTAGCCCTGCTACATCCACTAAAGAATGACCATCTTTAGTGCTAACAGATGGAATTGCCAGGACACACAGGTAAGAAACAACTATCATCATACCTTTGATGTTATTTAAAAAGGAAACTATATATATATATATATACACACACACATATATACATACATGCTTATTTTTGCAAACAAAGCAAAAACACTCCAAATTACGACAATGAAGAGATAAAGCATTAGCTACTGAAAATGATTACCTTATCGGGGTGAAGAACCAGCTGGTAAGGGATGGGAGTGGGGGATGGGGTTGTAGCTCAGGGTAGAGTGGATGCCTAGCATGTGTGAGGCATGGGGTTTGTTTCTCGGCACTGCATATAAATAAATAATATAAATAAATAAAATAAAGGTCCGTTGACAACTAAAAAAATATTTTTTAAAGGGATGGGAGTGAGATATGGACGTTATATACTTTAAAAACAGAATTAAGTCAAAAATGAAAAAGCAAACTCTGAAGTTGGAAACAAAAACAACAAAAGCCTAGTGACCTGTCAGACTGTGAGCAAGCACACAGAGAAAAGCCTGATTTCAAATGACTTTATATTCTTACAGAGCAAAGAAATCTTAAAAAATGAAACTTGGATCAGTTAGAAATAGTGTTGTCTTATAATTTTGAAACTTTTACGTATATTGTGGGATTGAACAAATAAGTAGTTATATTAATAAGAAACCAAATGTTCATTCAGCAACAAATGTCATAAACATTTTTTCCTTGTAATTATATATTTATTCTACCATGCGCTAGGGGTCATATAAATTGATGCTTTGATTTTGATTAGAAACATCAATACAGACTCGTGCTTCTGAAAGCACATTTCCTAGGTCTGTCTGCTGAAATACCCAGGAACAATGATAACTCAGCAGCATCAGGGTCACCCTAGTACCCAGATTTTTACATACTGCCCCCCACTGAAAGAAACCAGAAACCCTGGAGAAATGGAATGACCCCGCTGTGGAGCCAGGCAAACATAAGTTCAGTCTGGGACATTTTGTTGTCCAGAGTAAAGAAGGCATTCCAAGACTATGGGGTGGCAGGAGGGGCTCCTCCCATCAGCCAAATTTGAGATGATCTGAGTCAAACACAATAATGACTACAAACTTTAATATATGGGATGAATAAGAATCTATGAATCTAGTCAAACAGAATGAAAAGAAAGCCACAGTGGTGATTCCCGCAGGGATCTGAGGCGGGGAACCACTGCCTGAGGCTCTGAGCAGTCAGCCAGCCAGTGAGTTCTCTTCAGAGTGTGAGGCTAAGGAAATAATCCCTGTGCAGAGATCCAGTTATATTTACCACAGTACTGTTTAAAACAGAGAAAAACTGGGAAGAACCCAAATGTCTAACAAAACATGAGTGGTTATATGAAACAGAACACATTCATATAACTGGAATCCAGTGCAGCTAGAGTATGATGAAATAAATCTATACTTGCTGTCAGGGAAAAATGTTTATGAAATTTTGTTGCTGACTGAAAAAGCAATTACTAGCAGCATCTAGAATGCCATTTTTTGTTTTTAAAATATGTATGCACACATATAAAAATTATATGTAAAAAAAGACTATTACAAAGATATATGCCAACATAAATCTTCTGTTGGTGAAATTATGTTCTATTTTTTCCCATTTTTACTTCTCTTTGCTTTCTATAATGAAAATGTAATACTTTTACAAGAGCAGGTTGATACCTCTGGTGATGGGTGCAGAAAGGGAATGGCAATGAGGTACCGCAGAGTTCCGATTACTGCAGGCTACAGAAACCAGAGGAAGCAGTGGTGCCCCCACCTACACCCAGAGCCCAAACAGGAAAAGTACAGCAGTGCCACCTAGCGGACACTGCTGGGCCTGCATGAGCTGACCGCTTCCTGGTGTGGAGGTCCAGGGGACTGACAGGGAAGAGGCTTGGTGTGCAAGGCTGCCCCTGCCCCATCCCAATACCTGGGACACCAGAGGCTGGGATTGGTATCCTTACCGGCTGCATGGTGCCACCTGCAATGACTACTGCCCGGCATTCTTTCACCACCTGGGCAAAGTGCACAGCTGGATTCAGGAGCAAGAATTTGAGGCTGCTCTGACTGAGGCTGCCTGAAAAGAGATACACACACATGGGGAGAAGGTTGGGAACAGCCTGAGCACAGGCTCAAGTTGAGTCCATGAGCTAGCTCTTTCTCTTTAATAAAAACAACCTCATTTCATCTCCAGCACAACCCACTGAAGTAGATAGTACTATTGTCTTCCTTCCCACATTTCCAATTTCTAAGAGGAAACTAAGTGCAGAGAGAAACTGGTCAGTCACATAGCATGCAGGTGATGGAACCAAGACTCGAATCCAAGCCCACCTAATCTTAACACTGGGCTATAGGGTTCTCCAGCAATGCTGTCTGAGAGGACCCAGCATCTCTGCATCCTGGCTCCCCAGGAACCCTGCTTGCCCCAGGCCATGGGAGGCCAGCCAACACTATGCCTCCTCATTCTATGCTAGGCAGGTACAGGATGTGTCAAGTCTCTGGCTTGATTCCCTGGCCCCATCAGGTTTTCTCTTTCTTGGGAAATGAGCCTGATCGAACCATCTTTTAAGTGAACAGCTAATTACCTTGGCGGCTCAGGATGACCCTGCCATCTTGGTTGGCAGTGGTGAGAGCTGCAAGGAAGCCTTCGATGTGCATCAGTGGGGAAGTGGGCCGCAGGGCCCTGGCCTCATCCTCCTCCACAGGGGTTGCAGGAGCTGTACAGAGCAGGACAGGGAGAAGGTGCCCTGAAGTTAGGTCCACATCCTTACCCTAAGCCTGCAGCTGGCTCTGCTTTTCCACCCTCCCAACTCACCCTCGGTGACACCAGGCTGCAGGCTCTTTAGGAAATGCTGAAACCCAGTCAGTTTGGGCTGCAACTGGGAAGATGGGAGGACTGCTCCATAGCGTTCTGTGAAGCCAAAGAGCTGGGTAGGGTGGAAAAAGGGTGATGGAAGAATGAGAAGCAGTATGAGTGGAGACCCCACAGCCTACAGCCCGCCCAGTTCACAAACAGTTCCCACCATGGAGAGGGAAGACAGAGATGAGTCCATGGGCCAGAGAGGGAAGCAGTGAGGCAGCAGGCAGGGTGCCACTGGCTCCCTCTGGACCCACAGTAAAGGTGGTTACCTTCCTGCTGACCATGCTCTTCTCGAAATACCGCTGAACCTGCAAAACCAACATCGATGGCACGCATGTGTCACAAACAAGTGAGTTATAACCTACATGAGAAACCAGTCATCCCAACCACCAAACAAAGCGGCTCACAAGGTGGGGGCTCTGCCAAATCACAGATACAACCTTCTCACCAACATCTCAACAGCTCTGATCTAAGGGTGATCAATAGAAGTTACATGTCCTCTATTTTCCTTCCAAGTGATATCATGTAAGTTGGGCCTCAAAGAATTTAGACTCAGCTGGGCATGGTGGTGCACACCTGTGACTCCAATGAGTTGGGTGGCTGAGGTAGGAGGTTTCAAGTTCAAAGCCAGCCTCAGCAATTTAGTGAGGCCCTAATCAACTTACTGAGACCCCATCTCAAAAATGGGGTCATGGTTCGGTGCTTAAGTGCCCCTGGGTTCAATTCCCAGTACCAAAATATAAATAATAATAATAATAAAAAAATCTATGAGCAAAGGCACAAAGAACTGAAACTTGGGGCTCATTTCAAGCAAGGCTGGAGTACAACTTAGTTGGCAGTTGAACATGTGTAGATTGGTCTTGACGAGGAATGCTAAGTTGATAAGACTGAAAAGTCTGGGAAGATTTGTACAAAGAAGCTGGGCACACCTATAATCCTAGCAACTTGGGAGGCTGAGGCAGGAGGATCCCGGATCTCAAGTTCAAAGCTAACCTCAGCAACTTAGCAAGGCCTGTCTCACTAAGTAACTTAAGTGAGACCCTGTCTCAAAATAAGGGCTGGGGATGTAGCTCCGTGCTAAAGCATTCCTGGGTTCAAGCCCTGGCACCAAAAATAAATAAATAAAAGATTTCTACAAAACAGTGACATCCTAGCCAGGTGTGGTGGTTCACATCTGTAACCCCAGAGGAGGCTGAGGCAGGAGGATCATAAGCTCAAGAACAGCCTGGCGACTTAGGAAGATCCTGTCTCAAAATTTAATTTTTTAAAAAGGCTCAGTGGTAGAATACTGGCATGGTGTATACGAGGCCATGGGCTTGATTGATTAAATAAATAAGTAAATAAATAGAGTGACATCTTTAGTTAAGATCCACTCAATTGTACCTTGTAAAGTAAATGAAAGGAAGGAGGCGAGAACAGAAGCAAGCAGGGGCCAGGAAGAAAGCAGGAGCAAATAGAGCCTGCACGGAAGTCACAGCGGTGGGAGGGAAAAGCTGGGATAATTCCAGAGTTATTTTAGGCCATGGAGCTTGGCAACTATTTAGCTATAGGACACAAAGGGAAGAAAAGTACCAAGGATGACTCAGATTTCCAGGGTGTTTGACGGGATAATGGCATTGACAGTGACCAAAAGGGGTTAATTGGGGAAAGCTGGTTTGAAGAAAGGTGGGCAGAAAGGGACAGTCTAAGATAGTACAGCTGGGCTTAAATGTGCACTCGTCCACTCAGCACTGATGCACTGGGGCGAGTCCTGTGCTCCTTATCCTCCTGAGCAACCTCCCTGAGCCTCGGCTTCCTTTGTTTTCAAATGGCAACAGCACATTCACCTGGGAATCACAGACCCAGCACACAGCCCCAGTATGTAGTAGTACTCTGTCCATGAAGGGTGATTATGGTTATCAATTTGTAATCCGTAGGCTGTCATCCCAGTGACAGTGCTGTACCCCATCAGGAGAATCCTGGACATTCAGGACTAGAGTAAGAAACATCTGTGGCTGTGACTGAACCCAAGGCTGCAACTGGGAGTCAATGGGTCAAGCAGCACCAGCACCATTCTCACTCAGCTCAGCCCTACCAGATGGAACCAGGATCATGCTCCTTTAATCAGCTCCCTGCTTCTGTCCTAAAGTCCAGAGGAAAGACTGTGTCTGAAGACAGATGGAAAGGGGGGGTGGGAAGACGTGGGAGAGGGGTGGGGAGGCCTGTAAGGTACAAAGAAGAGCCTCTCTTTTCACCACCTGGAAACCCCATGACCCTAGACTGTTTGGTTCCTGCCGATATGTTGCTTGAAGGGTTAAGTAATTATGTGTATGTATGTTTTGGTTTCTCAGACCTTAAACTACTCGACTACAGAAGGAATTTGCTTTTTATGTCTCCCATAGTCTTAATGCAGTGTCTGCCTATAGGCAGTAATAAGAAAGAAACCTGATGTGCTAATAAGTGGTGGCGGGGGCTGGGGTTGTAGCTTAGTGATTGAGCGTTTGCCTCACATGTGTAAGGCACTGGGTTAACCCTCAGCACCACATAAAAATAAATAAATAAAACAAAGATATTAAAAAAAAAAGTGGTGGAGGCCTTTACCTTGAACAGGTTAATGTTGTCCACCTGGCTCTGAAAGAGGAAGTCATTGATGGTCTTCAGCTCTGTTCCTAAGAGCAGACAAATGAAGGGCGCTGGGAACCTGCCCTGAAGCCCCTAGCTTTGGTCCCAGATTAAAGCTTAGAAGTGGCTCAGATCCCTCTGGGCCCTAGGAGAGCAACTCCCTCACCTGTCTTTGAGAGGTTCTGTGTATTAGGATTTTGCTTAATGTTCCCTAAAAAAAAAGAAAATGCAAACAGGTCAGGATAGTGGTCCTCTGACCCCCATTTCCCTGTCTTCTCGCTCTACACTGTACCTACTAAGAAGAACATCCATATTCAAACATATTTTTATTTGTTCTTGGTTATTTATAGCATGCAAAAAAAGCCAGAGAGGGCAGGGGGTTCCATGAAGCTCACATATCTACAAAAGGAACACAAAGCCTTGCAATTTCATTCAGCCCCAGGTATACAGGGGCACAGGAACAAGCACAAGCTGCCCTTGGCCATATGGTGCTGTGGCCAAGGCAGAGATGGAATCTAAGAGCAATACAGGATAAGATCCTTCCAGAAAACCCCACTGGGTTTCAGGAACTTTACTTTCTACAAAAACCTTCAAAGGCACTACCACCTGACAAAGGAAAGGATCCCAGCACAGACTAGCATGAGAAGCCTGGGCCTGGAACCAGAAGGCTCACTCACTGGGCTTATCAACCACAGGCAGGTCCTGATTTGAGATTTAGTTACTCATCTATAAATGAGGGCTAAAACACCTGGCCTGCTCTCCTCACAGGGGCAAATGAGAGCATACATATAAAAATGCTCTGAAAACACCCCAGGACAGTAACTATGTCACAAGGTGTCATAAATTTAATAGTATAATGTATTATTATTGCACCCATAGAGTTCTGTCTGGCAAAATAAAAGGACTCAGAACCTGGGCAAATGAACGAGGATTCTAAAAAACATAGAAAATCAGACAACTAGAATAAAAAGGAATGAGAATTTCCTAAATTAATGACCCAGACAATCCTAAAGGGCACAGAAGATCTAGGAGCCCTAACCGGCATCCAAGGACAAAGACCAACAAGTTTTGCAGGCCAGGGGTGAGCCTGGGGAAGGTGCTCTCCTACCTCCCAGCATAGCCACAAACTTCTCCAGCAAATACAGAATCTGCTTAATGTACATCAGGTTCTTGGCCTTCAAACGCTTCCTGAGGAGAAATCAACAGACGTCACATGGCTGTGCTCAGACAGCAGCTTCCCTCCATCTGCCCCCAGCCACAACCTGTCTTTCTGCTACCTCTCAAGCTGGGCCACAAACTACAAATTCTCCCTAGAAAAAAAGGCTGGCCAAGGCCCAGGGCCCTCAGAGCCAGCTGTTCTGTTCCAAGCAGCCTAGGTCTCATGAAGGACATACCACAATGAACTTAGGACCTGAGCATAAAGCCGATGCCCGCTCTGAGCCCAAGCCAGAGTCTTGGAGGCTGACTTGTGGGGCCACTGAGACTGAGCAGAATTCTCCCTTCTACCTCAGAGGGTAAGTGTCTCACCCATATCTTTCCATATACTGGAGCAACTGGGAATGGGCCTGGCAGAGCTGGGGAGAGAACACAGACAATGGTGTGAAGGCAGACCAGGCTCTGGCCAAGAACAGAGGGCTGTCCAGATGAAACCTTAGACCATGTATAGAAAATGCCCACCAGCACACACAGGAAGGTCAAGGTGATGGGGAGCAAAAGTGGGGCTCATGTAAAGGCATGGTTTGAGGCCCCTGGGCTGAGGTTGCTGAAAGAGAGGAAAAGGAGGTTCTGCTTCATGTCTGCTATGGGCCTGGACAAAACATGAGGGAGAATCCCTCAGGCAATCTCCCTGCTGGTTTTTACTGGGCTGGGAAAAAACTTGTCGTCTACTAAGAGTGAGGTTCCAGGTAACCACTGCATCCTGGCCTAAGGTCAACCCAAGCTTTGGTCAGCACAGATGGTAGATGCTCAGTGAGTTTCATGGTCAAAAACCAGTGGTCAAATCCTGGCTCCCATCTGAACTGTGCGCTTCTAGGCACAACTGCTTAGCCCTCTCTGAACCAGCAAGCTCCTTAAGTAAACTTACCATCCCACTGTAAGGTCAGCATAAAGAGCAGAGATACCTGGTATAGTAGACAATACATAAGAGAGTAGATTACAGAGATCTTGTGCCTTCCTCAGAGCACCATCACAACTGATGAGTCCTGCTTCCCTCATGCCACCATCCCAGCTAAGACAGAACATTAGCAGCATCCTGGACTGGAGGGGCCCAGGATGACATGGGCAGGTGAAAAGCAATGAAATAAGCTGGGTCCCCACAGTTTTATGGAAAGCCAAGACCAGTACCTTGGCTCAGTGCAGCCTCTGCCCAACCCCATGTTCCAAGGAATTCCAGGTATAGGTATCTATAGAGGTAAATACTTATAAAGTCTCTCCGCCTTCTGGCATGTCAAGACAGAGAGAGGCCAACCCACCTGGGAACCGGTGACCTCTGTGCTGTAGATGCCTGTGATGGTATCAATCAGGTTGTGTGCCTCATCAATGATGACCACCTGGCCCTGCAGACGGATGCCAGCAGCCTCCCGGGTGGCAGCATGCAGCAGCATTGGATAGGGCAGCACCACCAGCTGGAGGGGGAGAGATACAGGGCTCAACCTGCAATGAACTTGCCCAGCCCACCTAAGTCCTGACGTGACCTGTTCTATTTCCAGTCTGGACCATGAGTAGAGAGATTCAAGTGAGAAAGTTACAGCAGAGTATCATTTATAGCAACAGACCTTTTCTCAGGAGCTTGATGTACGATGTCAAGTATATGAAACAGTAAAATTGGAGATGATCTGACTGAAGAGAATCGAGAGAAGGGACTGAACTCCTGCTACTGAGCCTTATCTTAGCCCCCAAGGCTCCTCTCACTGTAGTTTCTCAGAAATGTACTCTCTCCTGGCTTCTATCTGGTATCCCCCAAAAATACCAATTGGCCCTGAAGCCCGAAGCCACTAAGGCTCCAAGGGCCTCCCCTGACCCTATATTCTGGAAAAAAATGGTTAGGTGGCATCAGTATGCTGTATGACCCTGAGCCTAGCCATAGTGGGGGGCATCCTCTCAAACTAAAGAGGAACAAGGAACTCCTTCATGGCCTGCAGCTCCAGTTAGAGCCAAGAACTACCTCCTACCCCTCCGGAGTACTTACCTGGGCTGCAGGGATAGCAAACCGGCTCCCATAATAAGGGCAGGCCCAAGCCTCCTTCCCAAGGGTCACCAGCTGCTCCATGTCCTTCACCTCCACCAGGATCTCATCCCGGAGAAGCTGCATCTGCTCATGGTTATAGAAGGGGCAGGCAGCCTTGGTCTCCTGCCGCCTCTTCTTTGGCTTGTCTTCCTCAGCTCTGTTTTTCTTCTCTGCAGGTGGTACAGGTACAGGGGAACAATGACAGGAAGAACAACTCTCTCTGGAGCCAAGAGTATGTTTGGTGATGTTGAGACCCACTCCCACCAGGTGGGGTCTATAGGACCCTTCCAAATGGTCTCATTAGAACACTCTGAAATTGTACGTTGTATTCTCTGTAAAGCGCCTGTAAAATTATTTCCAAGGACTAGAACTTGACACTAACCTAGGAAATAAGTACACCTTCCCAAGAAGGGGGCCTCAGGAGGGAACCAGGGCCTGCTCTGCCTTGTTACCACGTCCCTGGTCAAACCCCATCACAGCCCTTCTGTCATTTCCACCCTGCTCCTGCCCTCAGCACTGCCCCAGGCCATACAGTCCTAGTGCCTACCATGTTTGCTTCTCTGTATCTCCATGCAGCGGTCATTGATAAGCTGCACAGAACCCAGGTTTTTCACACCTTCATTCACGCAAAGGTTCTACAAGACAGGAGCAAAAAAGAGGCAAAGAAATGGTGCTGGCTAAATGACATGCAAGCAACCAGCAGACCTGCCCTGTTGGCCTCTCCTCCTCCCAACAAGGGGTGGTAGGGTCAGGGACAGGGCTGTGCTTCTACTGCTCAGCCAGCCTCAGCCCCATCGACTTTCTATGCCTGGAAGATAAAGGCACAGAGAGGAAGCTGAATGGCACCTGGGCTGGGACATCTGCCTCTGCTAACCTGCCGGGAGCCAAGGGAGACGAGCCGGGTTTCCTTGCCAAAGGGGCTCTTCTGTACTTCGTGCACAAACTGGGCCAGCTGGGAATGTGTCCGACTGCAGTAATAAATCTGGTCAAGGGAAAAAAAGGGGACTTCAAAGAGGGGACTCTAACATCCCCAAATATTCTCTGCACATAGAGGGATGCCATGGCTTTAAAGCCTGTGGAGACAGGAAGAGTGGCTGTAAAGCACACACCTGAGGAAAGATAATGTCATCTCACATCAGATCTCATCTGATGAGGGGACTAGGAACTGCACAGGCCACCTAAAGTTCTAGTTCAAGGGAATGCCCACAGAGGCCACTCCTCCCATAAGTCATGCCCATCTTCTAACCCAACCACTCTGAAGGGCTTGTGATCGTAGGAAAGATGATTTCCCCACAGCTGATTTTTAACATGGCAAAGATTCCTCAATCATCTGGTGAGAGCATGTCAGGGGAAGACTGTTTCCATATATCCCCCTGAAGAAAAAGAAAGAGGTAGAGGTGGTGCTGAATACCTTCTTTCTACTCTGGGATTCAGCAGAGAGAGAAGAGGAAAAGAGAAAAATGGGGGTGGGGGGGGTGGGGGTGGGATATCTACTTTCAACAGAACACAGAAGTCTTGAACGAAATCAAATATTTTTAAATTTGAGCGGCGTCACAGCCATACCTCACTGCACGCCATGCAAACATGAATACAATTGAGAAGAAACACACACAGGAGAGTCTAAAGGCAATGTGCTCTTCCCTATCCCACCCCTCACCTTCTACCACTGCCCACTGGAGACAAACCACTGGAGCCCTTGGCCCCGAACAGCTGCCTTCAGTGATCTGGGGCAACATGCCCAGGCCCTGGGAGCAGGCCCCTCTGGTAAGTAACAAAAGACCAATCTTTGGGCCTGGGAAACCATGAAGCCTGTGGATTTAAGTTCTTCATTGAAAGAAGGCTAAGAAGCAGCTGTAGTGACTTTTGTGTTCTCGCCAGAGGCAGAGAGCCCTTGACTCAGGCCCACACACAGAAATACATAAGGACTCAGCATCTTACCTTAGTTATATGTTCTTCCTCCAGGTCATCCTCATCCTCATCCACTCTGTGAGAGCAACAGAACACAGAACAGTCTTCCCTCAGCAAACTCAGGTCAACTACAAAACATCACTGGTAAGTAGGGTGGAGCCCCTTTCCTGAGAAGCCCACAAAGCTTCAGTGTGAGTGCTGAGCCTGAAGGGCAACACAGAGCAACAGCCCAGCAACAAGCCTCTACCAAAGCAGCAGGTATTCCTTGGCTCAGGACACTCAGGCAGGCTCTAGGCCCAGCTTCCACTGCTACTCAGGTCTGTGGAACCCAGGGAAATGTGGAGAGAAAAAAGGAAGGGCATCACGTCCCCAAACCTATGTTGCAAGCTGAAATGCTGGAGACTGGGTGCTTGACTCTGAGAGTCATAGTGGGCTCCTCTCCTCCCACTGTCCACCCTGTAGAAAACTACATTCCCCTCAGTTTTCCAAGAGAATTTTGATTTCCTCAGGGACTTTGGACAAACTGTTCTCTTGACCTGGAAGGCTCTCTCCCCGACTGTACCAACTCCTGCTCCATGTTAAGATCTCAGCATCAACATGGCCTTTCTTGCCTTTACAACCTGAAGTAGGTCTGCTGCCCTGACATACCCCATGACAATCTGCACCTTTTCACTGTGACATCTCATTCAAAGCCACATATTCCTGGTCTGTCTCCTGTCATGTGTACAGGGCAGCAAGAAGGTCTGTGTCTGCTGAGTCTCAGGGCCCTACTCAGAGCCTGGCAGCAGTAAGAACTTCACAGACATTTCCTGGTGAAGTCACAACTAACCAACTCAATAAGTGAAAGATGCTGTCACTTGTAACCAAACCTCTACTCTTCTCAGTGCTTCAGACTTCCCTTTCCAAAAGTGAATGAGAAGTCTACTGGCACTGAAATTCGGAGATAAATTTAGCCAACATTATCAGTTGAGGCTGCTTAAAAACAGAAAATGCTCTTATAGACTCATGCCATCTACTGGAGCATCATATGGAATAGAAATGCTTTATTCACCATGAATGAATTTTTTCTTTTTTAAGCAGAAATGCAATTGCCTTGTACCATTAGAAAAGTTATTTACAAGGTTGGCTTCTTAATCAATAAACAACTGTTGTCAGTTTTGTCTCAAAGGCTTGGATTTAAATTACTCATCACAAGTCAGACAAGGTCAGTAGGATCTAGGTGAGGGGAAGGACATGTAAAGAATTGCACAGCAGAAGTTTTATATGAGGAATCTGTAATGTCCTGAAAGGCTCACATCTCTCTGAAAACACCAGGGCATCAGAAACTGGGGAAGCTAAGCTGCATGATTAATAGCTCTTGCCCAGACCCTAAGAATATTATTTCTCTAATATTCACAAACACCTCTCAGTTCTTTACCTTGTTTCCAACGGACTTTAGGGAAGAAGTAGAAGCTACAAAGCCACCTTTGGGAAGGGCTTATGGGACACTCATGATTCTCCCCATCACCCTCAGGGAAGGGCCAAAGGTATATTTTCTCATCCTTGCCCCGAACTCTGCTGGAGTGCAGATCCCAGCATCTTCTCCCCACCACCAGTGATGCCGTCATCCTTCTTCCCTCCAGAGTCTTGGGGAGTGTTTTAGCACACGAGGGAAAATCAGGGGAAACTTTTCAGAGGATGACAATACTTATGAGGAAGAAATCTATACTAATGCGCCCAATCTTCTCTTCTACAAAGTTTCAAGCAGAAACGGGAAGTATGCTCTCCCAGTCCTACTCAGCAACACCCTGGAGGGCCACATTCATGATCTTGGCTGTCACCAGGAGGACTGCAGGTGAAATGGCCAATACATATTGGAGCTTAGGTCAGGACCCTTAGGAATTTTTTGTAGAGGTGGCGGGGTGGGTCACAGGCCTTCTGCCTCTGGACTGAAAACTCATAGGCCCTCTCCTACCAGTAAAATGCACCACCACACAAACTTAGAAATAATTAAATAAGGCCACGAATCCTCTCTAGACCACCTACAGACTTTGACATTTTGGCATTTCTGAATTTCTACAAGGACTGAAACTAACCACTGTCTGATTATTCAGTTCAACTAACCTGCCCAGAGTGCAGCTAGTTGCAGCCAAACACTGTGGGCCCTGGGCATGAAGAGTTAAGCCCAGGCTCCTACCCCACAGCACACAGCCCAGTCACAGAGAGGAAGACAGACCCAAACAAAGCTAGTTCCTGAGCAAAACACAGCAAAGGGCTGATACCCAGGACCACTTAGATGACAAATGAGCAGGGCCTGAAAGGAGGTGAAGGCATTTGCCAAGGGAGGAGAGCAGGATGATTTAGAGGAAACAGCATGAGCAAATCCTCAGACAGAACAGAAATGCCCGGCACACTTGGAGTGTAACTCCAAGCTGTAGCATCCGACTAAGGCCATACCTAGAGCATACACTCATAGGGCACCAGTGGAATTAAGCTGGGAGTAAGAAAAAAGGATCTCAGGAAGGGCTGTATGGCCTGGAAATGGCCTAGTTGTTCTCTTTAGGGTTTTCTGATGCTCCCAGCAGGTGACTAATAAAGTGGAAACCTAAGCATCTGGACCAACAGAAGCCGTAAGGAGGGAAAAAAGCTCAAACTAGGGACTCCTTGGTTTGGGTCATGAACTTCACACAGTGCAGCTTGGAAGCTGAGAGCATGGGATCCAGAGCCTGGCTGTCTGGGTTCACATCCCAGCCCTTCTACCTATTTAGCCTGTGGCCTCTGTCAAGGCATAGCACCTAGTTGGGCTGCAGTTCCAATTACTGCCATCACTGAGTTGCTGTGAGGTAAACTGAGTAAATACATAAGAGGCCACTGACAGGCACAGGAGAAGAGCCAGCTATCACTGGACCCTGAGAAGGCTCCTGGTTTAAGCAAAAGGGGCAGGTGGCTGCCACTCCCTCTCAGCAGATTCTTCACAAGTGTCTCTGGCATGGGGGAAGAGCTGCCTCCCCAGAAGTCCCCAATGACTGTGGGTGGTAGCATGAGGTGGCAGCAGCTGTCTTACCCGCGGGCTGTTCTTTTCTCCTCATCACTCTCATATTCCGCAAGGACAAGCTCCTCCTCCCCAGATTCCAGCTGCTCTAGTTGCTCTGCCTCTGTCCCTGCTGCCAGCATCTCCCTGCTGAGGCGGAGGAGACTCTCAGTCTCTTCTTCTTCTTGTCTCTGTGTAGAATTGGCAGTGGGAAGAGGAAGAAGACTCAGCACTGGGGCCCCCACCTCATGAAGGAGTTAGCCTGCATTTGTGGCCATCACCAAGAACAAAGCACCCAGGGAGGCCTATTAACACAAACCTCACTGTTCGACTGGAGAAATCCATTCCCAGGCTCTATGCCTCCACCACTCAAGCTGCCCAACTACTGGGTGAGGAGAATGTGGCCAGTGGGGGACAGGGAGGAGTCTGAGGCCCTGGTCACTCACTCGAGTCTCCAGGCAGTGTGACCTGCCTGGACTCTGTGGTGGGACAAACTCACCAGGCGCTTGGTTGCATATTTGAGCTGTGCATTGTGGCGGGTCTGCTGCAGGCGCTCTTCCCGCTTCCTCCTCCTGATCTGCTCCTCCTATAGAGGGTAACAGTTATAAAGGATATGCCAGCAGGAGTCCAACCATGCCTTTCCTAGGAAGCCCCCGCCACACCTTCAACCTCTGCAGGACTCAGTGCAGGGAATCTATCCTCCCTCTTGAAACCACACTAGTAACCAAATTCACTGCATAATTGAGTTTGCAGCCCCACCCCTCCAAACCACAATGTCAAGAGCAACAATTAGGATCCTTTCCCAGGTAAGTAATGACTGGAGAAGGCCTAGACATCAGCTCAAACAAACAGGAAAGAGGCAGCACCAATGATTCAAGAAAACTGACAGAGGGCTACGAGGCAATGCAAAGGTGAAGGACAAGGGATACCTAAATCTCATATGTGGCCCAAAACAATGGCTGAGGCCCACTTACTTGATTACCACTGCTCCTTACTACACAAGATCTCACCTTTAGTCTCTCCACCAAATCCCTTTCTTCTTTCTTCTGTACAAACTGGGTAACCCAGTCTGGTTCCCCGGCAGGCCTCAGGGTGTCAGGGGGCTCTTGGCAGGAAGATGAGGAAAATGGGGGCTGGTCCCTCCCACCACCTAAGGGGTCAGCTCCAGGTTCCAGGAGACGTGCCTCTTCTTTTTGTTTCTTCTGCTCAAAATCACGGAGCCAGGAGAGGGCCCCACAAATGAGACTTAAGGACTTTCCCTGGAGGAAGAAAATGACCTTTAGAAACAGAGCAAAATGTAAAGTTTCCCAAATGACTTTCTCCATTTTAGTATGGTGTCAAAGCAGCTCTGGCTTTAAAAATTAAGATGATACTCTAAGACCACCTAGGAAAGGAAAGGAAGATAGGCCACAGAATAGCCAATAAAAACAGGAAGACAGGAGAAATAAGAATTGGGCCCAAGAAGCAGGAGAGAACGCCTTTTTAAGTATACCAGTTCATTGTTCCAAAAGAGAATTTAAAGTGGTTTATCAGGTTATATATAAATACAGCTTGCTAATTAGACAGTGGTGAGATATTACATAAATAACTGCCCCCCCCCAAAAGAATTATAGCCAAAAAATTTATAGCATGAAATCTCATATACTTGCCAAGGAGAGCCACACTTGACTCTCAGCTTCAATGCAACTGATGTGCAAATATAAAATGACCAGTCACATGAGTACCAGCGTTTTGTTTTGTTTTGAAAGGAAGCCAACTGCTCTAGAAAATCTACTCTTAAGTTATTTATTATTTTTGGTACCAGGGACATAACATAGAGAAGCTTAACCACTGAGATACATCCCCAGCCCTTTTTTAATTTTGAGACTGTCTCGCTAAATAGCCAAGGCTGGCCTCAAATTTGCAATCATCCTGCTTCAGCCTCCCAAGTTGCTGAGATTACATGCCCACATTTCTGGTTTTGATTTAAAGATCAGAATTTCCCATGAGTCCTTGTTCTGGATTGAATGTATCTCCTCAAAACTCCCATGCTGAAGTCCTAACCACAGTGTCTCAGAATGTGGTCTTATTTGGAAACGGGATCATGGACCCCAGATGAAGACAAGGACAGAGGTGAAGCAATGTAATCAGACATAGGGAGAAGATGGCCTCCTACAAACCAAGGAAAGAAGTCTGGATGGATCCTTCTGTCAGGAAACCTCAGAAGGAACCAACCTGCTGACACCCTGAAGTTCTGTTGTTTAAGTTCCCCAGTCTGTGGCACCTCATTATGGAGCCCTAAGAAAATGACCCAATTCTTTTAGAGAGGAGACTGCAGTGAGCCCCAAAGGCTGTTACTTGTAGGGTCCAGACGGTGGTTTGATTTCAGGTGAATCTCTGTCTAGGCAGTTAGCATTCAGAGCCTGCTTAACCCAAAGGGATCTGAGCACCCAGGGTGGATTTCTAGACCTGCTCCAGTTAAGTGCACTGCAGTAAAACACATGTGCAGCGGGGGAAGCAGCCAGCAGAGAGGGATGCCACCACCAGGCTGCCTGGGTCATATTCCGGCTCCTCTGCTTACCAGCTCTAGGACTCTGGGCTGACCTCTCAAGAACCATTTCCATATATGCAAAAATAAATAAATAAATAAATAAAAGGGAATAATAATAGTAATACCTTCCTTGTACAAGCATTCAATTGGTTAATATACATAAAGGTTAATATTTGGGGCAGGATCCAAACAATTCCTGGGACACGATAACTGAACTGGAGTTAGCTATTTTTTGCTATTAATAAGTAATAATAAAATTACCACTCTGCCAAGATGCAGACTCTCAGCTTTCATCAAATCTTGGAAGGCCCTATGCCAGAATGACACTTCTGATTAGTGGATGGATCACACTGCTTTAGAAAAGCCTCATATACCATTTCTCTCAGCTTTTGAGAGAAACTAAATGGCAGAGTTCCAGGCAGCACTCCCCAGCTGAACCCAGGGTAGCTGTTGCCTGTGAGCTGAGGAGCCAGGGGCTTTACCTGTCACTGGGCTCAGACAGGCAAGATGCACCACCCTTCCTCATAATAATGACCCAGGGACAGATGCCTAGTTATAAAGCCTCTACCCTTCACCTGAAAGTGAGCTGAGGAAATGAGTATTCACTTACATAAGACTAATTGAGGCTCCACAATTTTATATCCTATAAGAAGATACAGAAAAATCCACAAAAATTGTAGATCTAGAGTGCTGGGGTGGAGCTCACTGGTGGAGCACTTGCCTAGTGTGCATGAGGCACTGGGTCCCATCCCTAGCTCCATGAAGAGACCAAAAAAAAATTGTAGATTGAAACCTATTAAAAGGCTGTATAACCAAATGTTCATCTCAGCAATGAAATAAACTCAATAAAGCATTCACAGAATACCTAGCTTTAAGCAATGTTATTTCATGGAGTACCATCCTAGATTAACAATTTACGTCAAGTAAATTCATTTATTCCAACCACCTGCTGGTTGCAGGAGCCCTGGGCTTAGAGCTGAACATGCAGAGGTACAGAACCCTCTAGTCAGTGATGGTGGGAAAGCTATGCACTGGAAAACGTGGCAGAAAACAAAAACAAAAACAAAACACACACCTCCATTCTGGGTGTGATGCCAGGCATCAGCAGGTACCAAGGCACTGATAACAGGAGAGAGTTCCACTGAGGGGTGATTTAGAAGATTTTAGAACATAAAGGGCAACTGAGTCATAGGAGTAGGTTCACACAGGGCCACAGAACCAAGGCATCAACATGCAAGGGCTGAGCAGAGGAAGAAGATGAAAAGTAGGAAGCGAGCAGAGGATGGAGATGGAAAGCTCTGCGAGGGAGAAAGAGAGAGGCCTTCAGGTTAAACAAGGATGAAGTCCACTCTCCCAAGTTCTTTTCCAAAAAGAAACATACTAAAGCTGCATCAAAGTCATAAAAGAGCACAAAAACAAAGAAAATAGAAGAGGGGAAATAACCAATTTAAGAAAGATGCAAAAGAGAGAGAAATGGAGGGCTGGGGTCGTGGCTCAGTGGTAGATCACTTGCCTAGCATGTGCAAGGCCCTGGGTTCGATCCTCAGCACCACATAAAAATAAATAAATAAAATAAAGATATTTTTTTAAAAAGAGGGAGAAATGGAACTGACTTAGCAGAGTGAGGACTCTAAAGCCCAAGGTTCTGCCAGTCAGCCTCAGAAAGGCCCTGAAGCTGGCAGGGCCACAGTTGGCACTGAAGGCAAAGAGATGACCTGACATGCTGGCGAGACAAGATGAGAGTGGGGAAGGGAAAGAGGATTAGATTGAGAGCAGGGAACTGAGGGAAGGACCACACCTGAAGCCAATAGGAGCTCTTCTGAAGAAACTGAATGACTCCAGGGAAAATTCCAGATTTACCCAAACCTCGAGGCCCCAATAAAGCAGCACAATCTACAAGACCACAAGACGGCTACATGTACAGACTCCTCGACCACCCTGTTGGTACCTGTCCTTAAACAGCAACAGAAGGACAACAAGATTCACCCCATGAGGATAGCCTCCACACAAGGAACCCAAACTGAGAGGAAAAACGGCAAACAAACAAAATGAAACAAGGTGAAGGGAAAAAAAACCTTCAAATACTATTAAAATGGATATTCTCAGAAAGATACTGTTTTCATAAGTACAAATAGGATGCTGTTTGTAAAAATCAGAGACGTGAATAGAAAAACTGGGCAATAAAAATCAAAGAAACTTGGTCAAATCCCTCGAGCACTCAGTAACCTAGATACTGAAGACCAGACCTATTTGTTTAATCTGTGAAAAATCCAAAGTCATTTTCATGTTCCTCAAGTGAAGCAGCTAGGTGCCAGAAAAATCTGGAATATTTCTGTGTTATGGATGAAGTTCTGCCATTTAAATTGTAGGTTGCCTAGTGTTTTTCAGACCCTGGAGTTGTAATCAATAATTTAATAGAAAAGTGACTATTACTCAGAAAGATAAACTGAGCAACTGCTTTGCCTAACTTCAAACCATGAAAATCTCTGCAGAGGTAGGCAGTAAAGCAAGTCAGGCTCCCTCCAAGTTGTGTTAATTATGGTTCTTCACCACTCATACTCACTGTGCCTGTTGGACTCTCAAATATCCCAATCTTGCCAGCTTCCAAAACCTGGTACAGCTCTGCCATGAAGTCTTTCTGGATGGGATATGGTGGGAAGGGAAAAGGGAAATGGATGCCAACAACTTCCTGAGTTTTATTAGTCATGGTCCTGAGGACAAAAAAAGAAAAAGAAATGTGATTGTTCTCTCATGAGAGAAGAAATGGTTTGAAAGCTACAGAGATGCCATACTACATAGCCATAATACTTGTTACTGAATTTTCTCCTGGGTTTGTACTATTTTTTTTTTCTTTTTGCAAGCAAAGACCGTGTTCTTTTTACCATGTGTATATCCTCAAGATGCCATACCAAAATCATGCAAAATATCTAGCAACATTCATCAGAAATGGCTATAGCAGAATGCAGCCTAGGAAAGTCCCTAAGCCAAATCCCCCTGCAATTTCACTGCTGCTTGGATACCTTTCTGATGCCTCTGTGGAAGGCTGACAGCTTTCCTCTTGAAAACGGGCGTCAGTGGGACCAAGGCTGTTGCTTGTGGTTCCATTTTGGCAGCATCCTTCTCCCACACCTCTGCCATGCAGTACTGGCATGCCAAAGCTGCTCTCCCTTCTGTTGTGAAGGCCTATAAAACCACGGCACAAAGCAGAGAATTATCAGTACAGCTTGTTTAGAAGGCACAGTGAACATACACAGCCCTATTTTACAGATAGCTTGCATCTGCTTATTTCATCCTAGCCTCCATTTCTAGTACAAACCAGATCTGCTCCCTACTTCTGTTTCTGGCCTCAAGAAATAAATGTTTGCTGTTTGGTTCCAGACCAGAAGAGCTCTCTTCATTGCCACCAAGCTCTAGTTGGACCATCTTCCCAACACTAAGACCACAACATTTGTCTTTCCTTGACAAGCCAAGGTTTCAAGAAACTTCTCTGCTCCGTATTTATTTCATCTTTGTTCTCCTCAAACTAATTTTCCTCTAAGACAGCTTTTAAATATCCTTTCTTCCTTTGATTGCCATTTGGAGAAATGACTCTTCCACCCTGTTTTCATACCTCTCTTTATAGATGTCACTTCTCTAAGATATCTGGAAGGACTTTCTCTTCTATTAATAAGTATAAAACACAACTTTACTACACTGGCCTCAGTAAGACCAGTGATGGTGTCAATCCATCTATGAGAGGAAAGGTAGTTTCCAAGATGTTCTTCATTACAGTTTAGGAGCAGTTAAAATGACTACCCTAATGTAGAGATTACTACAGAAGGGGTGAGTCAAAAGCAAAACAACCAAAGCAAAAACTAGGAAAGTTCAGAAACAAAGGGAGATATGCAATTGAAAATTCATTAAAACATAAAGGAAAGGAGAAGAAATGCAGCTAACAAATTTTGAGCTATGTGTTAAATACTCCACAAGCCCTTTAACTTTTATTATCTCATTTAATCTGTACAAAACTATAAGCGTACACTTGTTAGACACTAATGCTTACAGAAATTAAATAACTGCCGGATGTGGGTGTAGCTTAGAGGTTGAGTTCTTGCCTAGCTTGCAAAAGGCTCTGGGTTCAATCTGTAGCACCACCAAAAAAGAAAAAGAAAAAAGTAAATAATTTATAAATAAACAGTCAATAGGAAAACCAGAGATCTGAATCCAGGTCTATATGGCTCTGCTTCAACAATGGCTACAACAAATAACTAGCATAAGCAAAAGGGAGATTCACTGAAAAACACATATTGAGAGATTAAGAATTGAGACTATCTGGGAAAACCAGGAGCAGAAGCCATTTGTTGGCAGATAGGACTTCTTGCAGATGAACTAGTATTTTAAGACACCTCTAGGAACCTCACCACAGGTAAACACCATGGACTACCTACCACTACCCCACTCAGATGTCAGATGGAGCCACAGTCTGTCTTCCTCAGCTTACTTGCAGTTTCTGCTTCCCCAAAACTTTAGCCAATGCAAGGTCTCTTCAGCTCCCCTTTACCTTTAGTTTCAACTCTCATCTTTCATGTTTCTTAGTTCTAAATCCCAAGAGAAAACCTGACCCAATCAGCTTGGGCTTTCTACTTACCATTTCCTCTGCCTGAGAATGGTGAGTCAATATTTAGAACTCAGCTCACTTTCTCTCCCTGTTTGACCATACTACACTGCCACCACCCACCCCTCAAACATATGCTGTTTTGTTTTGGTACCAGGGATTGAACCCGGTAGCACTGAACCACTGAGCCACATCCCCAGCCCTTTTTTATATTTTATTTTGAGATAGGGTTTTGCTAAGTTACTTGGGGCCTTGCCAATTTGCTGAGGCTGGCTTTGAACCTGCTCCTGCCTCAGCCTCCCATGTCTCTGGGATTATAGGTGTTCACTACCATGCCCAGCTGCTGCCTTATTTTAAGTTGCTCTTTTATCACATTACCTTGTATTTAATTTCTTCAGCTTTTAGCATTATCTGAACTTATTTTATTTACTGTTCTTCCCCACTGGAATATAAGCTACTCAAGAGGAACCTTGTCTATTTTGTTCTTCCCTTCCCACAGGACTCAAAATGAGGGGCTTCAGCTTGCAGGAATTCAATAAAATTGTGATGAATAAATAAACAGACATGGGGACTGGTTTATGTTCATCAGAAGTATGAATAGAGAAGTCCCATAACTTGAATATCTAGTCCAAGGGCTACTGCTTTAAGGGCTTAAACTATTTTCATATAACCTCATGACAATCTACTATATTAAGTACTTTTCTTGGCTCTATTTTATAGACAAGAAATTGGCACTCAGAACTAAGTGACCTGCTCAAGTTCACTCAGCACATGGTTAACTCGGCAACCAACTCTTTCTGCCACACCTCAAGTCCTTGAGCTTTGTATTTCCTAACTTCTCCTCCCACCCAGATAAGCAGGATGAAAAAGAAAGACTAGGTTACCAAACTTTAGAATGACAACATAAAACAATACAGAACAAAAGTGATCATTATTTCACTTCCTTGTGGGTGGTAATTATGGATCTCATTATTCCAGACGCAGCACAAGTTAATCACAGTTAAAGAACAGTTTAGATAAATCTGAAAATAATGGATTCACTAAGCACTACTGAGGACATCTGTTATCATTTTTCCAGACCTTTCAGGTGGGCTGTGTGGGGTACAACCACGAATTGCCACCCAAGTTCTCCCTGGAGTTTCCCACCAGTGCTAAGACACACAATAAGCAGGCAAATCTAATGCTTATTAAGTGAGGTTAAGATTTGTGAAAGCACTTCAAGTACACATTATTTCTGACTGTGTTCACTTCTTCCAGTCTTCAATTATCACTCATTATTTACTGAGTATAAACTATTGCTACCGACTAAACTGTCTCCACCACCACCAAATTCATGTATTGAAGGCCTAACTAACCCTCAATGGGATTGCATTTGGAGACAAGATTTTTAGGAGGTAATTAAGGTTAAATAAAGTCCAAAGGATAGGGTCCCAATCTGGTAGGACAGGTGGCCTCAGAAAGAGAGAAAAAAGTGTCATCTCTCTTCACCAAGTAAGGATGCACCAAGAAGGTTGCTCTAATACAAGCTGGAAGAGCCCTCACTAGGTACTGGCCAACAAAACCACCTTGGACTCCAGGCCTGAAGAAAATAAATTTTTGGGTGGGAAAGATGGTGGAATGGAATGGACATCATTACCCTAAGTATATGTATGATTGCACAAATCATGTGACTCTATTTCGTGTATAACCAGAGAAATGAAAAAGTTGTACTCCATTTGGTACAATGAATCAAAATGCATTCTGCTGTCAAGTGTAACTAATTAGAATTAAAAAAAAATTGGGGGCACTGGAGGCCCAATGACTCAGGAGGAGGCAGAGGCAGGATGATCAAAGGTTCCAGGTTAACCTCAGCAACTAAGGAGACCCTATGTCAAAATAAAACCGGTTATAGATGTGGCTCAGTGATAGGGTGTCCCTGAGTTCAAAAGGGGGTGGGGAGAAAAAGAAATGTTGTCTAAGCCACCCAGTCTATGGTATTTTTTTAATGCAGCCTGAACCATGTTTCATGTACTATATTATTCCATACTATTGTTGTGCTCCTAAATGCTTTAACTTCACACACCTGCAAAACACCACAGCCAGAAGAGAAAAGCTTGTCTGCACCTGCTGTTAACAAAACCACATCATGCCACAGAGCTGCAAAGCTCCTACTGCTGGGGAGACGGCATGGTCCACATTCTCACCTTGCTCTGGCCTTTTGTCCCCTCCCCTCTCCATCCTCAAGGTTCTCACACTAGGTGGGATCCAGCCAGCTATCTGTTAGTATTCACTTCCACTTTTATGACACTTTCACCCACAATTCGTCAATTGCATTCATCCCAGCCCTCTTTGTTGGACCCTTTTCCACTCTGAGTCCCGAAGCATAGGCTCTGGGGTCATATTGCAAAGTTTGGGATCCCAGCCCTACCTTTGCTGAAATTAATCTAAGCCTCACTTTCCTCACAGAAAAAGAGCTTTACAGTGTAGCGACCATAAACTATGAAAAGCAGTACAGCTGCGCCAAATTAAACACGTGCTGGCTATTATCTTTATCCCTACCCACCCCGCCTTCCCGGTACCCTCGCATTGGTTTCTCGCCCATCAATCACTGGCTCCTCCTCCTCCGCTTCCGGATCGTTTCCCGCGCCCCCGCCCAGATAGAAGACCCATTACTGCACACAGCTCCACACTAACTTCTCTCCAAGGCGACCCTTTCTCAACTCCTTTCTTCTCGCTCTCAGTCTGTTACCGTGCAACTTTACGCTCACCCGCACGGCAAGGCTGTGTCACCTAGGCTAGGCAGGCGACGAATCAGAAAGGTCAGTTGCTGAATTTGAATCGCCGCGCTGCTGGGTCTTGATCAATGCCCTCGGGGAGCAGAGCTGGCAGTGTTACTACGCCTCTGCGCCTGCGCACTCCTGAGCGCGCCGGCGTGCCCTGGGACGCCGAGATCAGGGGGCGTGGGTTTGTGGCATTGCGCTTGCGCAGCTGCGGGAGCGCCGGAATTTTTGTCTGGCGCTTGGCTGGACTAGCGTTCCCATATTTGGAGGCTGTGGTGGTGGTTCAGTGCCTGCCTCTCTCAACTTTTCCGATAGGTACCGGGTGTTTGGTTGAGCCTCTGCCCATTAACGCCAAATGTACCAGGCTCTCGGCAGTGGTTGATTTGATTAAACTGGCTTACATTTTACCATTTACCAAACATCCCAGGATCGAGGCGCTGCACTCGAGAATCCTGCATTCTGGTCCCGGCTTTTGTCAGCTCATAGCATGGCTGGAGTTTCGTTATTTTGCCTCTAAAGCGGAGGAACCCTGCCCTGCCACCTCCACAGAGTTGTGTGGCATCTTCAGCCTCAGAAGATGAATGAGTGTAAGTGAAAAGAGCTCTGGTGATGAAGTTCCTTGGAATTGTTCCTACTTGGTGCTGGGCACCGCCCTGCAGGGGTGAAGGAAGCTAGGACCCAACCCTGTTTTTGAAGCCAGAGTTAGGCAGTGAGTATAGACAGGTAAATCGACTCAGATCAGATGAAGGAGGCCAATTTTGAGTGAGTCTGCTTCTCTAATGTTCAAACTTCAACATGTGAGGAAGCAGAAGATAACCGGCTCATCTTCAAATTAGGACAAGACACATCCCTTCATCTCCCTGGTTTCTCCTTTTTTTAATGGGGAATTGGGCTAGATGATTCTTAACTTTTCTAAATGCATGATAATATAAAACAAGCCGAAGCCCTTTATGCTAGCGGTCCCAGAAATTGGTGTGACTTCCTGACAGGGCAGAAATGTCAGGAAGGGCTGCTGGAACCTGAAGGAAGATCTTATGAGGAGTGAAGTGAAACCAGTGATCTGAGTCGTGTAGAAGCTGGGAGGTGGGGATATACAAAAAGTGTTGCTAGTGTGAGTTTTTGTCATCTGCTTCCATCTATCACTGACAGGGAGAGTTTGGTGAGGGCAAGGTGTTAGAGTCTGCAAACAAGTCAAAATAACACCTGGCATTTTGCCAGGGGAATGTTAGAGTTCATAAACAAGTCTGATGGTGCCTGGCAAAATGCCAGAGGGAGTGGTTTGAGAAGTAACAAAAACAAGCCATTAAGTGTGGAGATTCCTTATTGGTTGACTGATGTATCTAGTTTATGTTAATTAGATAAGCTGTGTGGAATGTATAAATACTGCTCCTGTCCTGCAATAAAGGGCTCCTACTCCTGCTGTATCAACGTACACAAATTATTCGTCACCACCCAGCTATTTTGCCCAGCCAGCCGGGCTGCGGCAGCAAGGAACTTATACCTTTCAGGGTCATGGAATGTGGCTCACAAAAACCCTGAAAAGGTCTTTAAAGTTTAAATTTTAAAATTTATGTAAATGTTAGATTCTATCCTATGCTGTTTATTTTAGCATAAAAATATTTTTGAAGTAATTGTCTAGTCAATTGACACTTGAATAAGATACACTAGATTCTACCCATTGTTTCAAATATCTCCCCTTTCTGTCTCGCCACACACACCCATGTATGAATCTTCCAGTTAAGGAGCAACTATTGGGCCAGATGTGGTGGCACATGCCTGTAATCCCACCTATTTCGGAGTCTGAGGATGGCAGATTCCAGGCCAGCCTGGGCAACTTAGCAATACCCTGCCTCAAAATAAAAAAGGGGTTGGGGGTATAGCTCAGCAGTATAGTGCTTGCCTATAGCATGCCAGTACTTTAAAAAATATATTTTGGACATGATTAGAACATGAAATTCAGTAGGAGTCTGGTTGGACAAGGCGCTAAACATTCCTACTGTAAGCAATTTTCAAGTCACTGAAGAGTTTTGAAGAGAGGAGTGAAATGGAAAAAGCAATGTTTGGAGATATTAAGCCAGAAGTAACATGAAGGATGGTTTTGCAGGAAAAAAGACCAGAAGCAACATGAAGGATGGTTTTGCAGGAAAAAAGACCAGAAGCAGGAAAACGGTTAGTTATATAGTAAACCATACAATGTCATAGAAACTTAGACCTCAAAAGAGTGGCATCCAGAAGAGAGAGGATCAAGGCAGTTAATACTTGGCTGTAGACTTGGATTGGTCCCTCTCTTCTCCCTTCACTTTTTTTTTTTTTAATTAAGAGAGCTATAGTTCTAGCATTAGATCCTGGGCTTTGTTTCAAAAGTAAAATCAGAAGTTACCCCTATGGGGACCACCATAGGGTTAAGTAACCTGAAATGATGCCATTCATTAAATTAATTCAAAGACTTTCTTAAACTCCTCTCAAAACTCAGGGTTAGAAAGAAAAATGTACAAATATTCTCTGTATAGCTCTGCCACAGTCTGGCTGGGCACAAATGCCGCAGTCTGGCTGGGCACACAATCACGAGCCACCACACAGCTTGTACATTCAAACAGCAACTCTTTATTCCCGAACTCACACGAGCCGTCTACAATCACGTTCTGGGGAAATCCACGTTCTCTGCCCAAATCCACGTTCTCTGCCCAAATCCACCTCCACTGGGCTTCTATCTCCCAAAGAATACTGTCTGAATCCCCTGAGAACTCAAGGGGAACTCAGGCAGCAGGATACGCCCTATTCCCAGCAGGAATAATCTTAAACCTTAAACCTGGAACCTAAACCGGTAACGCCCTAATCCGCCTTGGTGCCCTAATCCGCCTTGGTCCTTGAGCAAGGTCACCTACATTCAATGTCACTGCAACATGGGGTACGCTGGCAAGGAAATTGTCATACCTACTTACTTGGCTAATGGCTCCCAGCATAGCTCCACAGTGAGAACTATTTAAATCCATCATGTATTAATCTCTGCATTTACTGCTAGTATCTCAGACCTAAATAGTGTGCATTTTTTTGTCAACTGGCTAGCATTTTTTATCTTTTTCTCATTACATTTTTGTTCTGTTTGTTTACTAACTTTAAATACATGCTCTAGTAAAATCAGATTCAGATCCCTAATACACTATTAACTACCTGGATGACTTATAAAATAGAGATAATAGAATCTACCTTAAAGGATTCCTGTGATAAAGAAAATCCATAAAAAGCTCACATTGCATGCCATATGGTAAAAGCTCAATAATGTTAGCTGTGACTAATATTGAGTTTGGTTTTATTTTATTGTACTTAAAGATTTCTTGGATCCTCTTTTAGATAAAGCTATAATATAAATCTAAGTGAAAAAGCTAATAATACATAAAGTTGATCCTCACTATAAATAAATCTCAACTTTGGGATTTAGGTCTTCCTAAATGGCAAAGAAAGACGTCAAGAGTGATAGTGCATTCTGAAGGGGAATATGAATATCCTATTGTTGAATATTTAAGGTTTTATATATATAGTTTGATAGATACACATTAGTAGGGACAAGGGGGTCATCAATGTTACATGCATATCTCAAGGGCATCTTATTTCAGGGTCTAGCCTAGATTTGGCATATATTCATTCAAATATTACCTGAATATCAGTCCAAAACTCAATTTTCTTAGTAAACTCAGAAAGTATCAGGGGGTTAGTAGGAGAGGAGGGAGGGAGAAAGTGCTGGGGAGTGTCGTTGGCCCAATTATATTGTTATAATATTTGCATGTCCTAATATATAACAACAAATCCCACCATTATGTACAACTATAATGTACTGATTTAAAAATGTGGAGAAAGAAAGTATCAGGATCACTACAAATGTATGGTTGCTAAATTTACATCCATGCCAATGGACTCATCTAAAGGAGCTATTTCCAGTGAGCATAAGCTAATTTCTTCTTTGTGTTTGGGAAACCAAATGTGAACTGGAAGGTTGCTTAGTGAGCATAGAATCAGAACAAGGAAACCACAGGAATTTGAGTGAGACATGCTGCCTAGGTGCTAGGAAAGTCCCATGAAATGTGCCTGTTCTGTAAGAAAAAATACTCCCTAGAGACCAAATTTCTGTTATCCTCGAGTTCCCATGTGCTCCGTCCCATGTGCAGTTCAAGATGTGCCCATTAATAATTGTTTCTCTGAACCCTAGTTATTTAAGAATATCTCATGGGAGTCAAATATGCCACTTCACCTTACACCTGCGTGGTCAGATCTTCTTATATGGCCACACCTACCTGTAAGGAAGAATAGGACATATATTCTTTATTCTAGGCAGCCAATTGCATGGTTACAAAAAGGAAGAATGGATATTGGGGGGAAATATCACAAGAGGTATTACAAATACCATTTTGTCAATGGGAAATTAGGCCTAAGAAAGTTAAGCACAAAGCTTTGAAGTAGCAAAAAAGAACCAGTCAAGCTTAGTGTTTGCTGGAATGGAAAAGAGAAGCTGCTACTAACCAGCTGCTGCTGATTTTTCCATCCGCCAAGTCTCACAAGATAGTATCTGTAGTAGCTCACAAGATCTGAAAACATGCTAGAGAGGGAATTCTGATCTTTCATCTAAGTTGCCATTTATACAAGGAATTTAGAAAATCTTGAAACCAATTTGACATTTTTCTTTTAATGCTTGTCATTGTTTACTTCCCATTTGGCAGTTGCAAAGAGGTGTTTCTCTCTGGGGCTTTGATGCCAAAGCTTTGAAGAAGTACAGGAAACCTGGGACGTCACATATTCGTCCACTTTTTTGAGGGTAGTGCTGACGATCAACTGAACATGTTGCCTGGGATCACTCTTCATACATTCAAAAGCCAAAACCAGAAGAAGGTCAAATCACACGTGGGATTCCAAAAGACCATCTACCCAATCCCACTCATGCCAGGGCATTAATGTACAACTCCATTTAGAATCATCCATGTCATTGTAAGAGGAATACTTGTTTCACTGTAGAAAATATTTAAAACAAATTGTATTTTAATAGAGGAAAGGAAAGCTGGGTAAAACAGGGCACCCCTATAGTTCTGGCTACTC